AGTGGTATGCAGTTTAAATTCATATTCCACGGCAACTACCGAACCGATATAGTTGATCTAGGTCTTTTAAATGGATTCATACATTTAAGGGGTTTCATTGGAATTTTGGTCGGTCTTGTAATAAGTAAATATCCGTAATACTATTCATTTTATGTCCAGAACGAGAAATGAAAATGAAATGAAATTGGGTTTAACGTCCTACTGTTCTGCTCCTAACGTGGGCTAATGAAGACGGGCATACGCCATACAGTGTGCTATGAGGGAAATTTTGCCCGGGCAGCGCCGCTACGGCCTACTCTTATATCGAATTCCAACTGCCAAGGGATCTTTTACGCCAATGTGTACACGGGACCTCGGTTTTTTGTCCCATCCGAACGACTAGACAGCTGTCCTTGTCAGGTCCTCCGTCCTGCATCACTGACAAGGGGAAACCACGCCGGAAAATCGGAATGAACTTTCTCGGCAAATGCAGGGATCGAACACTCGACCTCCAGGCTAGCAAGCCAGCGTCTTACCCACTTAGCCACGTGATCCCCATCCAGAACGAGAGAATCCATCTTATTGTGACCGACGTTTATTGTAATCCTACTTCATTTCAGTATTAATATTTCTAAAGTGTTGGCGAATTGCTTTTACTAACTTTAGAATCTGAGTTAATTCATAATCATACGCATTAGCAAATTTAATACTCCCATTGCGACTCATTAACGTCACAAACCCTATTATACATCGATATAGTTATCCTAAACTTTATCAAATGATACATAACTATTATTTAGCGCGCATTTAACATATGCATGGTCTTCTTTGAGTGGCATTTAGCAATTTACACACGTAATGAAAACATAATACGGAACACAAATAGAATATTTATTACATCTACGTTTCGTTGAGGATTCTCAACGTTATCAAGCAAATGGTGTACATATACATGTAGTCATAAACTCTACACTATGGCATGTTGGTTGGTAAAGTCTAAAAGTTAGAGCCAACTGCAGATTTCGTCAAGGTCGCGAGATGGTTATGTAATCGCCCAAAGCTAATATTTGTCGAAAAGAAAAGCCATTTCTGAATATTTTCTTTCATTGATATTACATTAAAATACAAACATATTTTCTGAATCAATCTCAGTCAGATTTTCTTTGTCAATTGTGCAGGCATGGGCCTGGTAAGGTACAGTGTCTAGTCGTTCGGACGGGACCAGAAATTGGCAACCCTTGTGCGTGCACTTAAAAGAACCACGAAGAGCAGGCAGAAACACCGCTGTCCGGGCCAAATATCTTGCTTAGCACACTGCATGGTATACACGCGTCATCATAAGGACGGTTGGTTCATTAATCATCTTTTGTTTCCGTAATTTTGGAATACCAAAATTGAGGTTTTATTTTTTTTTAAATATATCTGAAATGCGTTAAAACAATAAATGCTATAGGCTTGATTCGTCGTGTTGAGTAGCGTTCTCCTTTACCCCCATTTTCATGTCTGATTCAATTTATAAGCCAGATACTGAAATGAAATGAAATGAAATGGGGTTTAACGTCCTACTGTTCTGCTCCGAACTGGGCTAATGAAGACGGGCATACGCTATACAGTCTGCTATGAGGGAACTTTTGGCCGGACAGCGACACTACGGCCTACTCTTTTATCGAATTCCAACGGTCAACGACTAGACAGCTGTCCTTGTCAGGTCCTCCGTCCTGCATCACTGACAAATCTGGATGAACTTACTCGGTCAATGCAGGGATCGGCTAGATACTAATTGACAAGGGATACTAAACATTTATAGAACACCCAGTACCATTTCAGCTTTGTACGTTTTAGGTGATGAATGCATATAGTAATATGGCTAACAATATTGTAATAAAAATTATAAACATAATTCTTCTACCTAACTTTTAAATTGATTATAAAATTATTATCAAAGGAGATAATTATTTCCTTCCTACATTGACCCATGCTTGAAAGATGGTAATTACCATTTGATATGGTTTGACTTAAGACGATTTTTTTTTGTTATTATCAGGGGAGATAATTACGACTTATAATATTTACTTACTTTTAAGCCTGATCCACGCATTCATGGTGGCCACTAGCCAGTAGTACTTTGATAATGATCGCTGATGATTTGTCTAATCTAGTTATTATCAGGGGAGATAACTACGTACATTAAAATAAGAAAGATTAGTGCCTTACATCACTGACCCTCGCTTTGATGAAAACCTAATAATCTATTTGGAAACTATTTGATGTGATTTGAGTATGAAATCCAATAACACTTTACGTTACATATACTCGAGAACAAGTTCTAATACCAAGGGAGATAATTAATATCACAGTCATCGATTACTTCCTTGTCTTCAGTAGATGACTTAAGATTTAATTCCTAATAAGGATACATTATAGTCATGTTAGTAACATTAACAAAACTTTTAGTAAAGTCTTGAGACTTATAAACACTTTGTTTAAGAGCTAATGGTCGATTAAAACTAAGAATTCAATAATTCTTATATCTCTTTGAAATCCGTTGGGAGGAAGAGACTTCAATGCCCTCATTAACATTAACGAAGAGGTGTGAAGTCTTAAAGACTATAATGTACTATAGAACCGTTACAAGGTCGTCATAATTAGAACTCCAGCCCCCATACTCCTCGTAGCATTGCCATATGTGTTAAGATTTATAAGTCTTGTAATTTTTATACAGAAACATGTTGGTTGTGGGTGGGACCATCGCCATACCCCCTGGGTTTAAAGGACTTTGAATCTAGAGTTATTTGTTATCAAGATAGGGAGATCGGCTATAGATTTATTTGTTATCAAGATAGGGAGATTGGCTATAGAAAAAAATAATCTGGCAACGTTACTTACCCATGGAATATTTTTGTGTGTATGGTATTCGATCAAATCAGAATTTTAGATGTGTTTTTTTATGAATGACAGTATCGTCGTCGTGTTGGTGGGATAATCAATCCTATAGTAGTTTGAACTGCGCCTTTCTCGGCTAATCAGGTAATTGAACCCAGTACCTGCTGGTAACTGATTCTGCGTCATACATACTCACCACGTCACCTTGACCCTCTGCTTGTTTGAATTGCGTGGTTCTGCATTTCCATTAATTGTTTAATAATCAAAAGCACAGCTTAAACATAAAACATCTAAAGCGGAGTGAACACGGTTAGGCGTCGTATTAGGAAGAGATGTTTTGTTAAGAAATCATTGCTTTCTATTTCTAGGTTGTTTTGATTTTTTTTTTTTTTTTTTTGCTTTTATACCATTTCACAGCCAGGGGTTTAGTCGAAGCACATTGTAGCAAACAAAAAAACAACCCAATAGTTTCTTATGCAATATAGAATTAAGTCTCCCTGAAAACAAACGAAATTCAGTTAAAGCGCGGGAAAACTGGCTCCGTTCCATCAAGTACTACTGATTATTGTATTATGGGTCGGAAATAACTCTGTGTGATATGTGTCTAAGAACAAAGTGAAATTGAAAGAACTATTTACGACGTTAGTAATACGTGTATTTCAAGGTTTTCTTATAAATATTTTATTAAAATCAATTATGGACCTTTGTTAACGTATTTGGACCAGTTTCGCTTGCATATTAAATCTATTTTTAAAGTAGCTAAGTCTCTAACTCAAAATCTTCGACATTGAAAGCACGAATTATTTGTCAATTTAAATCAACATTGATGCTGTTATCCTACCGAGAAAAGATATGCTTCTGATATTCAATATTTAAGACAAAATAAACATTTTACCATTGGTACACGAATCGTGCACCATAATGCGTTCAGCGCCATTTGTAACAGGGGACCAGAAGAACGAGGCTAGACATATTCCACAAGTCATGTCAAACGGTGACGCCATATTCTTATCTGGAGAACATGCGCAATAAATACTATCGGTGTAGACTGGAATAACCAGGTGCTAGAGATTGCCATTCGATTGAGACTTCTGGCGTATTTCGCCGAATATAACTGATTTGAAATTAAAGGGACTATCCCGATTTCAAGAGAGTCTCAAAAATAAAAGTCAGAGTACGTATGAAATTTAAGTGCCAAAATATAGAGGAATGGTGTATTTAACTTCTCTCAAAATACCAGCTCAGAATATTGAGTCGTTTGGACGTGAACGTCAAAACTGCTTATCCGGACACGTAACCCTTTTAAGATTTTGTGTCAGTTTTTTCGTTGGGAGACCTCATAATCGATTCCCGTTCCTTGAGAGGTCTATATAGTGAATGACCCATGTGCTGTACTTGATAACGAAAGGTAAACGTCACCTACACATTACTTTTATAAAACAAAAGTCTGGTTTTATCCAGACACCGCATAATGCAGCTTGGGACACCGGTCTCCATTTCCAGATGAAGGCTGGTGGGTTTCAGTTATTTGAAATCTTATCCCAAATATTGAGTTAGTTGCTCGGCCCTTAGCTAGAGGATTTTAAGGGATTTATACAAAATTAAGCAATTTTATTCTCCAAAAAATATCGGGATTAGCCCTTTAAGGTAAAAACGGAAACGATTGAATGTAAATCAGTTTAATATACATTCATATTACATTATTATATGCGTTGCGACCCATTTGTGTCAATACCTAGGTCCCAAATATTAGCGATTTAGCTTCTTTAACCTATTGTGTGTTTTACCTCTATGCTAAACACCATTCAATTACCCATAGCCCAGTTTAATACATACATATTAGTGGAGAAAATGTGGAAATCTCGGTATATGTACTTCGGGTGTTCATTGGCTCGCACACTATACAAGCCAATCAAATGCCAAATCATAAAATGTTGCGCTCATGAATAAAAAAGTTTTTTTAGGAACTGATGTTGTATGTGCATCTTATATAATAGATTAATCGAAAGCCAAGAAGGGCTATTAAAACCCTGCACGGAATCGGACGCATATTTAGTAAGATGGCGAGTGGAAAGATAGGAGGCGTTATATATACTCTCCCAAATATTAAAATATTTCTACTTTTTCTTTTTTTCCAGCATTTCACCAACCATCCAAGATGTCGGCTGTTACCAAGGTGTTTCTTCTTTCCTATTTTGCCTTATTTGGTATTGTCACGTGTCACGTTCGCCGTTCTCCTGTATTACCATGCCAACCGTGTAACTATTTAGACGTACCTATGATAGAAATTGTCAAATACAGCGTCCTGTGTGGAAACTGCGGAACGAATTTCGGATCTGAATATGAACACTGCTGTATGTGCCATAGCAAATTTCGACAAGTTTGTGCTATATCTCTTGGTATGAAGTAAACAACCAACAACGCTCAGTGACCAATGTTAAATGATATATCTTGCTCTTTTGGAAATGGCAAAGATTTCCACCCATGAAACTTTCTTCATTACAAAAACCGCTCATCTTAGTTATCTGTGTTATGCTGCCATCTTTAGTTTTGTTCTTATTCAAATTCAAAATGTCAAACTGTATTATATATCTGTTGATACTGCTTGCTATAATTGTTATAGCAGGATACGACTGTTGGCAATGGTGTTAACTGTGTAATGTGGTAAAAGCTATTGATGGTAAAATGTCGGTACACGATGTTGTGATCTTGGTCTGATGACGTGGTTAATGGTGTGGATTCCGGTGGTAATGCCAGGATTCAGCCCTCGATACCGACGTTCTTTGATGCCAATATAGATGTGGATGGCGATGCCTTGATGCAACTCTCAAAACTGATGGTAAAGCCTCAACACATACCTGCCCACGCATGACCTCTCGTTGATACATCTGAAGAATCTTATGGGTAAAGCGTGAATAGCTTCAAACTGGCGAATTGGGAAATCATCTGCTGATCAATGCAGCTGTCCACACGACACTATATTAAGGTACCACGCACAGCGCAGCTGCACAGGGTCCACGCTGTATTGAATTTAAAGATGTTATTCACATCCATACACCCAGAAAAAAGCCCAGAGAGTTGCTATTTGACAGGTTGTTTCTTCTTTAGGTTATGTGATGGCGGTTGAGTTGAAGTGGTCTTATGCCATTGTTTTAATTTTGTTTTGTGCTCATTAATTAAAGTATATTGTTTGTTAATTTTTTTTTGCTTCTTTTTTTTCAACAACGCAAGTAAACCTCACCAAAACAAAATCTGTATCCACACACCAAAGGTTGGTCGGTGAGGTGCGCACTAAATGTCATTTAATCTCGAGTAACAGTTCGTGGCCGGTGCAATGCCTCCTGATGAGTGCCCCAAGACCCCTCCCCCTCAACATACAAATACACCTGCTCTACTAAAGTTCATCGTACAACTCCGGTCAGCCCAATACTTTTCAACAACAGACAACATACCCATCGCAGGTATTATAGAATGACAAAGCGGTCGTGAAGCCAATCTGATTCAAATCAGATGACAGGAGTTTTATTTTGTTTATTGTTATACATCTGGCATAGTGTCGGTGTAAAGCAATGGTTCCCAACCTTTTGTTGGTTGCGACCCCATTCCATAAACCATCACCTGTACTCGACACCTCGCAGAACAAAGTCACCATTTACTATGAAATATTATTATCTTCACAGATCAAAATGTTGTGGGGCCACGGTGGCTAAGTCGGTAATACGCTGGCTCGCTAGCCTGGAGGTTGGGTGTTCGATCCTTGCATTGGCCGAGAAAGTTCATCCCGATTTTCCTGCGTGGTTCCCCCTTGTCAGTGATGCAGCACGGAGGGCCTGACACGGACAGCTGTCTAGTCGTTCGGATGGGACGAAAAACCGAGGTCCTGTGTACACATTGGCGTGCACGTAAATGATCCCTTGACAGTTGGAATTCGACATAAGAGGAAGCCGTAGTGCTGCTATCTGGACAAAATTTCCCTCATAGCACACTGTATGGCGAATGCCCGTCCTCATTATCCCAGTTCGGAGCAGAACAGTAGGACGTTAAACCCCATTTCATTTCATTTCAAAATATTGTAATAAGACTGAGGAAACAAATCGTGGTCTTGAGAGGGAAAGACAGTCGAACAATGTGACAAGAGAGAGAGAAATGGGGTTTAACGTCCACTCGACACAAACTAGGTCATTTCGGGGCTAACATATGGTTTAATTTTATTTCAATAATTCGCTTGCGCGTAGGGGTCTTTAGCAGTAGGAGGAAACCGGAGGACAGGTAACCCTACTCCTTGTAACATACCACCGGGGATTCGAAACCACGCCAGTTGACTCAATGACAGGCTTTATGATACAGCACACACGTGCTGACCATTCGGCCATCCAACCCCCCGAGGTATATATAAATCAGAGGTTCATATGCTTTCCATGAAAACAGCATTTCTTCGAAAGTTTCAAAGTAGTTCGCCACGATCACACACAAGTGCTCTGGGACCCCTGCTGAGGTCGCGATTCCTGGGAACCCAGGGTGTAAACGGTAGCCAATCAGTTTTGATCTAGGCGGCGAAAAATGGGGATTTTTAAAAAGCAGCACATATTTCTTCATAGAGTAAGGCGGGGGATAATGAGAAAAAACAAGCTCGTTTAATCACAATGGTGTATATGTTAAATTTACTATTCAAGGTTTTGTCGGGAGGATATTGTTGTCTTCATTTAGCAAGTAGAGGTTCAAACCACAGTCGTGTAGCAAAGTGAGGGTGGCGGGGGCAGCGGGGAAATGTTTTTCTTTTATACTTTACTCCTACCTCAGTCCACCCCAACAGCATCAGAGACTTACGCGAAAAGGGAGACATTTCCTCAAGGGTAGTCTCGGTCAACCAGAACCTCATAGTCTTCAACGCACGGTGGGGGGGGGGGGCTTGGCGGGACCGTTGTCAATCTTTGACGAAAAATTCTATTGCCCATACGTTTAATAACCGGGAGTTGCACCCCTTCCCGCAATAAATCCCATAATTCTTGCATTATTATAAACAACCAGGAATCGAGACGGCGAATTAGGATTAATTTAAAAAACATAAATATGACCCATGAGGAGAGAAATTTTACAATAAAAAAAAATAAGAGTGTTAGATATTGAACTGGCAATGCAATCAGATGGATTTGGAATTAATTTCATTGGCGTCGACATCTTGTCTTCCGTTGTTGGCAGAGAAAGTTCCTCGAGATTTTTCCCTTGCGAATGGGGAAGGCCTGTCACTGACAGTGTATAGTCGTTCAGATAGGACGAAAACCGAGGTCGGGTGTAGACACTGGCGTACCTTTGACAGTTGGAATTCAAAATATGAGTAGGCTGTAGCGCGGCGCTCCGACCAAAAGGTCCCATATAGCACAATGTAATGGCGTATGCAGATTTTCATTAACCCAATCGATGCAGAAGACGGGAAGTTAAACCCCATCTCATTACGTCTGTAACTCAGATGCAGGTTTCATAGACTACTAATCTTATGATGCATTTTTCAGTTTAAAGGGCAATACATGAATATACATAATATAAATACAGTAGAACATGGCAATCAATATTTTAAACATTATATACAACTATTTACACGTAATTTATCGTAAATGTCACTGTTATGATGGATTTTCCAGTTTAAAAGTGAATAATATAAGGTACGTGAATACATGAATATACATAATACATAATATAAATACATGTACAGAAGAACGTGGCAATCAATTTTTTAAACATTATATACAACTATTTACATATAATTTGCAGTATGATATTATTGTACTGTTAAAATAATAATGACAAAGCTGGGGCGACGTCCAAGGTTAAAGAGGGCAAAGACTCGAGCTTCAACTATTGGTATAAGGGGACCTCCCAGAAATGTTTGAAAAACAAAAACAGACTGACAGTATTGAGACACAGGTTGTCGAGATTAATATAGTTGACCAGATACCGCCTGTCCCCTGATCACTAGTTTATCCGACCAGAGAGGAAATTGTCAAACGAACGGACTTGCGAAGCTCCCGAAAGTTTGAAAAATAGACAATCGGAAATGCAGTCTGGCAGCATTTCAGGCACTGATGATCGAGATAAATAGGCTTACCAGATACTGCCTGTCGCCTGACCACTAGTTTCGTCGCTTTTCTGGCGAACCGACGAATCTGAAATATTTAAGTATTGAGATTTATGCGTTTGAAATTTGCGTTCTGTTGTTATCTCTGTAGCCATCAAATTCGCTGGACGATTGTGACTACAAATAAATCAGGTGATTGGTATAGCTAATCCGAGCCTTCGACAAATAACATAAATTGAAAGTATAGCCTCAGACTAATAATTTGCCCCACACCGAGATTTTTTAACATTACGATGATCTCGATATTTATAATCACAAAGAGTCCAATGTTTCACAATCGGATTGAGCCGATTTTTTTCTAGGCCTGGTCAAAGAAAGTAATAAAGGTGGTCAACAAGCCATAGAGGCTTAATGGTAGACCGAAGAAAAGGTATAAAAGGTATTTAGTAGGCGATCACCATAATTCATGTGTGTTTACTTTCTGGTCCTTCCACCTTAAAATCATGAATATTCAGCAAACTGCTGACGGAAAACGTAAATTCAAACACTCTCCTTCGATTTTAGGTCAGAAAGACAACAAAAATTGACATGCAAAATTGAGGAAAAGGGACAAAAAGGGAATTGCTATAAATACAGGCACTCCATAAAGATATATTGAGGAAAGCCTTGCCACAACAAATGATATGATATGAATAAACTCGACCCCAGGCCCCAAGTTCACAAAGCATTCTCAGACTTAAGTTCAGAATTTACCCAAAATTGTTCGCCTTATATTAACTAAAATATAACCCTTTATAAAACTTTTGTTGTTTTAATATATTAAATACATCAATAAAAAATCTATGAGCAAAGTTCTTTTTTTCTGAATCAAAGATGTTTCTCATAAACAGTGATTGAAAGTTGAGTAAATTCTTAACTTAGGTCTGAGAATGCTTCCTTAAACAACCAGGGCCTGGTCTTTTCATCGAGTTTCATCTCTGTAGACACCTTTTCAAGCTTCGTAAGTGTCAAATTCTGTATGTACAATCACGATGTTGACCTTGTTTTTGGTCAGATTTGGGCAACAGCCAACGAAATCACGGACCCCGGTTTAGGATCTAAATCGACAGGGAAGAGTTCTAAATCGATTTAATTTTAATTTGTTTTATGGGGAGGGAACTCCTTTAAAAAAAACAAACACTGATGGTGTTGATGTTGATATATAGCATATATGAACTGCATAATTTAATCATCAAATTATAACATCTGAAAACCTTCAATTAAGAGCAGATAGATATCTTATGATTTGACATCAGAATGAGAATGTAAAAGTGGTTGATTTTCTTTACGTATGTATTTTTAGTTCATTCTAATATACATAATCTAGCTGTATTCTCTTTTGTGAGCGTCCTCAAATATTATAATATATAATCACCAACATGATATACAGGTCTGTTGACCTCCCCAGGCACCTCGTCAATTTTTCATTAAGGATGTTCAAAGATATGAAAAGGGTTAGACAAGTGTTAGTTTTAACGTGGATTTTGTTTTAAGACAAGAATTGAAAATGAAATGAAGTGAAATGAAAATGGAATGAAGTGAAATGGAATTAGATTCGGTAAGTTTTAGATTCAGCGATCGATCTCCTGGGTTTTAATCAATAGAGACTAATGATTGAGAATTACTTTTTGATTTGTCTTTGAAACCAAACCCTTTGACGGAATCTTTAACGTACTGCCAATCTTAGACTGGGTTGTACTGCCAATCTAAGACTGGGTTGTACGTGACAAGGAGTTGGGTCGCCTGTCCAACCTCGTGCGTTTTTTCCGGGTCCTCCGGTTTCCTCCCACTGCTAAAGACACCTACGCGCAAGCGAATTATTGAAATAAAATTGAACCATGTGTTAGTCCTGAAATGACCTAGTTTGTGTCGAGAGGACGTTAAATATCTCTCTCTCTCTCTCTCTCTCTCTCTCTCTCTCTCTCTCTTGTAAGACTGTCCATAATGCACCATTAGCAAGGGAGAAGTTAAAGATGCTTAAAAGTTAGAAAAAGAGTTTATTAGAGAATATGATTGATATAAATAAGTTTACAGCCAAATTACATAATTGATCTATTGACATTTAGTTAATCTCGTCACTTCCGTATGGT